TCAGCATCAACATTAACATCATCAGCATCATCATCATCATCGTCATCATCATCGTCACTATCACCATCATCATCAGTATCAGTATCAGTATCATCATCATCATCATCATCATCATCATCATCATCATCATCATCATCATCATCATCATCATCATCATTAGCAGCATCATCATCATCCACATCAGTATCGACATCAGCATCAACAGCATCAGCATCACCAGCATCATCAGCATCAACACCATTCATCATCACCATGTATCATCATCATCATCATCATCACCATCATCACCAGCATCATCATCAGCATCAGCATCAGCAGCATCATCATCAACCTCAGCAACATCAACATCACCATCAGCATAATAAGCAGCATCACCATCCTCAGCATCATCATATTCAGCATGCGCATCATCATCATCATCATCATCATCATCATCATCATCATCATCACCATCACCATCATCTTCATCATCATCATCATCACCATCATCATCATCATCAACAGCCGCATCATCAACAGCAACGTCATCATCACCAGCATCAGCATCTTCCGCATCATCATCATCATCGTCATCATCAGCATCATCATCATCAGACGCAGCAGCAGCATCACCACCATACTCTGCATCAGCATCAGCATCACCATCATCAGCCACATCATCATCATCATCCTCAGCATCATCATCAGCAGCATCAGCAGCATCAGCAGCAGCATCACCGACAGCAGCATACTCAGCATCATCATCACATACATAATCAGCCGCAACAGCATCGGCATCATCGACATCACCATCACCATCACCATCACCATCACCATCACCATCATCTTCATCATCAGCATCATCATCATCATCATCAACATCACCAGCAACATCAGCACCACCAGCATCATCATCAGCATCAGCAGCATCATAATCATCAGCATCACCATCATCAGCACGATCACCATCATCAACATCAGCATCAGCATCAGCATCATCATCATCATCATCATCATCATCATCATCGTCATCCCCAGCATCACCATCATCACCAACAACATCATCACCATTAGCCGCCGCATCATCACCATCATCACCATCATCGGCATCATGATCAGCAGCCGCATACTCCTCCTCCGTTGCATCTTCATCCGACTCCTCGTTCTCCTCATCCTCATCCGAGCCCGCATCGTCCTCCTCCTCCTCTTCCGACTCGTGCATCTCCGACTCGACCTCCTCCTCCTCCGTCTCCTCTTCCTCCTCCTCCTCCTCCTCCTCTTTCGCCTCCCCCTCCTCCTCCTCCTCCTCATCCGCCTCCTCCTCCTCCTCCTCCTCCTCCTATGCATCCTATGGCATTATCCTCCTCCTCCTCCTCCTCCTCCTCCTCCTCCTCCTCCTCCTCCTCCTCCTCCGCATCCCCCTCCTTGCCCTCCTATGCATCGTATGTCCTCCTCCTCCTCCTCCTCCTTCCCGTCCCTTCCTCCTCCGCTACGTTAGCCCGACCTAAGCACAGGCTGTGGCGTCCGGCCTCCTCCTCCTCCTCCTCCTCCTCCTCCGTTGCGTTAGCCCGACCTGAGCACAGGCTGTGGCGTCCAGTCTCTTTCTCGTCTTCCTTCTCCTCCTCCTCGTCAACTCCTGCTCCAACTCCTCCTCCTCCTCCTCCTCCTCCTCCTCCTCCTCCTCCTCCTCCTCCTCCTCCTCATCATCCTCATCCTCATCCTCATCCTCATCCTCATCCTCATCCTCATCCTCATCCTCCTCATCCTCATCCTCATCCTCATCCTCATCCTCATCCTCATCCTCATCATCATCATCATCATCATCATCATCATCATCATCATCATCATCATTATCATCATCTTCATCATCATCATCATCATCATCATCAGCATCATCATCATCATCATCATCATCATCATCATCGGCATCTGCATCTTCATCAGCATACTCATCGTCATCAGCATCCTCAGCATCAGCATAAGCATCAGCATAAGCATCATCATCCTCAGCAGCAGCATCATCAGCAGCATCATCAGCAGTCTCAGCAGCCTCAGCAGCATCATCATCATCAGCACCATCACCAGCAGCGCCATCATCATTATCAGCATCAGCAGCATCATCAGCAGCATCATCAGCATGATCATCAGCATCATCCGCATCAGCATCGGCAGCATAATCAACATCATCATCACCATCTGCAGCAGCATCGCTATCGTCACTATCGTCATCATCACCATCAGCATCGTCAACATCAGCATCATCAGCACCAGTATCATCATCAGCATCATCAGCATCGTCATCATTAGCATCATCAGCATCATCAGCATCAGCAGCATCATCGTTAGCAGCATCGGTATCCTCCTCCTCCTCCGCCTCCTCATCCTCCCTCGTGTCATGTTTCCTCCGCCTCCTCATCCTGCTCGTCCTCCTCCTCCTCGTCAGTATCCTCCTCCTCCTCCTCCTCTTCCTCCTCCTTCCCCCTCTCGTCCTCGTCCTCCGACTCGACCTTATACGGCTCGTCCTCTTCCGCTCCTCCTCCTCCTCCTCCTCCTCCTCCTCCTCCTCCTCATCATAATCATCATCATCATCCTCCTTCCCATCCTTTGCCGCCTCTCCCCACGTCTGCGGGGCCGGGGGGGGGGGGGGGCGTGCTGGGTCCCTCGACGGCCCGCAGACCCCCGTGGCCCTGCGTCTTCTGGGAGCCTGCCGCCGCACTCGTCCGCGCCCACATCCCTCCTCCTCCTCCTCCTCCTTCTCCTCCTCCTCCGCCTCCTCCTCCACCTCCTCCTCCGTCTCCTCCTCATGTGCCCTCCTCCTCCTCCTCCTCCTCCCTCCTCCTCCTCCTCCTTCCGCATCGTCCTCCTCCTCCTCTGCCTCCTCCTCCTCCGCCTCCTCCTCCTTTTACGCCAGCCCAACCGAAGCACAGGTTGTGGCGTTATCCCTCCTCCTCCTCCTCCTCCTCCTCATCCTCCTCCTCCTTCTCATCAGCATCATCGCTATCAGCATCAGCATCAGCAGCATCATCATCAGCAGCATCAGCACCGTCTGCATCCTAAGCGTTATCACCAGCATCAGCATCAACAGCATCATGACCATGAGCACCACCATCATCATCAGCAACAGCATGATCAGCAGCATCGGCATCACCATCATCACCGTCATCATCACCGTCGTCATCATCAGCAGCAGTATCATCATCGTCAGCAGCAGCATCAGCATCATCATCATATTCATCTGCATCACCATAACCAGCATCAACATCATCAACATCATTATCAGCAGCAGCACCATCAGCATCATCAGCAGCAGTATCAGCATCATGATCGGCATCATCATCACCATCATGATCAGCATCATCATCAGCAGCATCACCATCAGCGTCATCATCAGCATCACCATCATCATCAGCAGCAGTCGCAGCAACATCACCAGTATCACCAGCAGCATAAATAATCACCATCACACGCAGCGTCATAATCATCATCACCATCATCGCCATCATCATCAGCATCAGCATCGGCACCAGCGGCATCATCATACTAATCAGCATCATCACCAGCATCAGCGTCATCAGCAGCATCATCAGCAACAGCATGATGATGATCATCATCATCATCAGCAGCAGCATCAGCACCAGCATCGGCATCACCAGCATCACCATCATCACCATCATCATCGTGTTCAGCATCAGCATCATCACCATCACCAGCATCATCATCAGCAGCAGCATCATCATCAGCATCATCATCATGACGATTTACTCGGCCAATAGAATGATATCCCAAAGCGATTCATCACAGGCTTGCCACCAATCAGCATAGAATTCTACAGCTCTATGTCCCAGGGCGGGTCGGGTCGGGAACAACAGAAGGCTATGAGCACGGGACGGGCGAGGCACGCGACGCTCTTGCTACCTTCCCCCTACTCGTGTCACTGTACGGCCCCCGTGTCGTCATTACTGCGCACGCACTCTCATGACGACTTACTCGGCCAATAGAATGATATCCCAAAGCGATTCATCACAGGCTTGCCACCAATCAGCATAGAATTCTACAGCCCTATGTCCCCAATCACCATCAAGAGGTCCCGAATCTCAGAAATGTTTTGGCCTCGGGCGGGTACGGGAGGGAGAGGCCGATCCTGGAGGGGCGGTCGTCCGTGCCACCGAACTCGCAACGTGCTTCTGGGCCCACCGGAATCTGAAGGTGCATGCGATAGCAGTGCAGAGACGAGGTGGGTAATGTTTAGCACGGTCGGTCTTCCATCCAGCATTTTCTTTTCCCTTCAAGATGTCGTGGGGTTTTCCTGACCTAGAGGATATATCGAATTGCCCATACATCTTCGGATCAGGAAGGAGTTGTCGGGATCTGAGGATACAAGATGGTGGTCCGCATCCTGAAGTCAGTCCCGAACTGGCCCAGGTCGAAAACAACAGACTCAGCGAACTTGGATTCTGCGATGTGCTTCAAAAACTGGACGAACCAGAGCATAGCAGAGGAGGGGTTCCCGATCATGAACGGTACTCAGGAGAACGAACAGCACTCTAGCGATACTGAATGAGCGGCATGGCGCAGCCACGAATATTCCCTGCACGCGGCCCGAGCTGATCAACTTCAGAAGTGCCTTTATTATTCCAGGCGCAAAAATGTCGATCTCAGGCTCGAGCTGTATCTCTGGCGACGAGATGCCACACCTCGCCACCGTCTTGCCGACTCCCTTGGAACCAGCAAAGATGTTGAGGAAAGGGTCGCCTCGCTCCAACCAGGCGGTCGGGGCGCGCTCACCGCGCCGAGGAGGTAGTCTCCAAGGTGCGCCGTGCAGAGCCAGCGGTACTCCTGGACGCTGTCGTCTAGCCCCACGAGCAGGAAGTCGACCTTGCTGGACTTCTCGTGCCTGATGCGAGAGCTCATGCTGGCCCAGCGCCCGCGACGCTGGACCTTCACCTGAGACCTCCTGCCCGTGATGACGCCCACGACTGGCTTGCGCGCCGAAGGTCGTAGGGGGCGATCCCCAGGCCTTCGAGCCGGCACACCTTCAGCGCCTTCGCGACCATGGCCCCGAGCTCCGCCTGCGCCAGGCCCCACAGCGAGTCGTTCGTCCCCTTCTCCTGGCGGTATAGCTTGAAGAAGAGGCCGAGGAACTGCAGGTTCTCGTGGTTCATCGCCACGTTGTCGTCGTAGACGCCCGTCTTGGTGGGGCCTTCGTTGCTGTCCGCAGGCCCCAGGATCAGCGACCCCTTCAGCCCAGTCCGCCCAGTCCAGGAGGGCCGTCTCCAGCGAGTCCAGGGTGCTGACGTCCAAGCCCTGGCGGCGGGAGTACTCGTAGAACTCCTCGATCCGCCTGTGGTAGTCCTCGACCTGGACGGGCCTCACAGCGAAGCCTGAGGCGACTGCCCGTCTTCCAGCGGCACAGCTTCGCGCACTCGAAGGTCGGGAAGATCCAGATGCATCGCTGGCCCCGCCTCGACCCGCTGCGTCACGTTGCGTGTCGCGATGCCTGTCGCCACTCTGCGCCTCGTCGCATGCACCCTCGACGCCGCGCCCGTCATCAAGATGGGGCAGCCCAGGAGGAGGACGCCATGCATGGCCCAGAGCAGCAGCTGCAGGTTCCCAAAGCCGCGAAGGTTGATCAGCAGGATTAACCTCGGACGGGACCCAGCGGCACCGTACCCGCAGCCCAGTGGCGAGCTGCAGCGCTGTCATCTGACGAAGCTGGCCCACGAGGGCTGGATCGCGACAGCGGCCCTTCTTTATGGCCAGCGTGAGTGACATATTGTCCACCAGCATGAGCGCCTTGCTGTGCCGCCTGCGCCCGCCTCGAACCACGTGCTTGAACCCGAGCTTGGCGCCCCTCGCCTCCTTCTTGATCCTCCAGCGCTCGTCGAAGCTGCCCGTGATTCGCATACCTGGAGAGCCCCATTCAGCAGCACAGGAGCCAAGCCCAGTATGGCAAGCATCCGTCGCCACCACCTGGTCGAGCCAGCCCGCCCCGATGTCGGCGTAGACCAGCGGCAGGAGGGCAGCGGCGATGAGGAGCTCCCTCCCGACGTTCAGCCAGAGGTTCTTTGGCCCCCCTCCTGCAGCCTCGGCAAAGGCAGGGGCGGCCGCGATGCAGGACAGACAAGGGCGCCGAAGCAAGCAAGCGAAGCCGAGGTGCCCAAGTGTCGCTCGCATCTCCCTCCCAGTGCAGCGCCCGCGTCGTGCACGAGCATGCAGCCCCGAGTACAGTTGCCACGCTCTGGCGGGGAATACTCTGACCACCTTCTTGCCCCCATCGAGGTGCACTCCCACGATGTCCAAAGAAGTGCTGACCTGCTCGATCTCATGTACGTGAAAACCTGCGTGCCGAATGCCTTCGAGAGCCTGACGATGCGTGGCCTCAACCTCGGCCTTGTCACAGCCGAGGACCCCGAAGTTGTCGACGCATGTCAGCTGAACAGGTCCCCCCTCAAGCGAGGGAGGAGGTATGCAGTCACGAAGAAGCCGAGCTGGAGGGAGACCAGCCTGCCGCAGGAGCTCCTCATGGACGAGTTGGGCCGCCCTCACTGCCCACGAAAAGCCCATCGGTAGTGACTGCAGAGCCGGGGAGAAGAGCTCGCTGGGACCAACCTTGATACCATTGATGCTCTCCACCCCCACAGCCGCGGCACGGACTGCTGGTAGAGCAAGGTACTGAGGGAGTTCCTCATCGATCCTGAGCTCGTGTAGGTAGTCCTTAATATCAAGGCTGGCCAGAAAGATGGTCTGGTCGGATGCGCACTGAAGACGGCTGAGCGAGTTGCCAGTAGCAAAATGTATTGAGTCTGGGATGTCAAATCGTATGTTGGTCCCTCGTGCATCACATATAAGTCGTAATTCACCACTCTTTTTGTGAACAAAGAACAATCCCACCCTTTCTTCGTAGGTTCGAGTCCAGCGCACCAGTAGCCTGTCACGCATATCCCGACAAAAACCCTCCCACTTCGCAGGATGTGCCTCCAGCACTGGGTCAAAGTAAGGATTGGGCAGTCCCTCGCTCTTGATACGCAATGCACACTCCTCGTCACTGAGAAGGATGGTGTCGCGAAGCCGCTTAAACTTGTGCGACGCGTCCAAGGGCAGAACGTCGTAGATGTCCACCCCGTGCAGGTCGCGACTCGGCGGAGACACTGAAGCCGAGCCAAACGGTGCAATGTTCCCGGCACGCTCGCTGTCACCATAGCGGGCGTCTGCACGCAGAAGCGCCGCGAGGGCTTCTTGCGGGGCGGGTCTCTCCTTAGGCATGGGCACAGCTTCAACCGCTTCACGAGCCCGGGCAGCAGCAGCACGGGCCTGCTCACCACCAGGACCGCTGGGCGACTTGTCACCGAAGCCCCCGAGCACGTTGAGACCCCAAAAAATTCTCGTCGGCACGCCTATCGATCCAAGCACGCCGGCAAATGCGGTGTTGAACGCCACGACTGAGTGAGCTACGAGGGCCTTCCCAATCATGAAGTCGAGGCAGGGGTAGAAGGTCACGCTGTCGACCGTCCGCCATGCCATGGTCAAAGACTCGTCGCAGCCCTCGCAGAAGACAGCAACTCGGAGGCGGCCCAAGTCGGGCCACGAAAATCGAAATACCGCGGGGCGGCTAGCCCTTCTTCGCAAGGGCCGCCTCCTCACTGGCCTTGCGTCGTTCTTTCTGGATCGCAGCCTCGCCTTGGAGCTGCAACGCCACGTGCGAGGTGAGTAGCGGCGCCACGGCCGCGACTTTCCTGCCAAGGCCCTGGAAGTGCTCGCTCCCCTCGAACCGCGGCGCCTTCGGGTTGGACGTGTACGCCTCCTCCAGCAGCTGAATCCTCCTCGACAGGATCTCGAAAGAGGCGAGGGCAGACACGTCCAGCTGGTCATATGTGAGCGCTGTCTCAAGAATCTCCATGAGACTGCCATGCTCGTGCTTGACTCTGTCGTTGTCCGGCACGTGTGCGTCTCGCATCCACTTCTCGGTCCTGGTGCGGGGGGCGCTCCCCTGATCTCTGATGAACTTGCACAGCCAGAGAGTCGTTCTTGGGCCACCCACCGGGAAGTCGTCGAACCGTGGCTCCTCCAGCAGCCCGACGGCATTAGTGTAGGCCCTGAACCTCTGGCCCGTCTGGTCGCACAGCACGGGCAGCACTCGAGCGTCAGCCGACTTGAGCGGCACTGCAGCCGCCGGCACGTCTCCATTCGCTTGAGGTCCGAGGCCAGCTCCTGGCAGACCGGGCCCAGAAGCTCGGTCCACCGCCTGCTCGAGCTCGCCCTTCCTCGAGACCAGCACATTCTTCTTGCTGCCGATCGCGATGTTCTCCAGCACGAGGGTGGCCGTCCCAAGCCTAACCAGCGCGAACTTGCCCATGACACTGGCCGTGGCGTCCACGCTCCAGTCGGACCCGATGGAGGGCGCCCCCGGCTGGCCGTCGTTCGCCACCACGATCCACTGCATGCCAGGGGCGGGACCGCCTCCGGGCGCCCCCACTGCCCCCATGGCTGCTCCAGCCCCTGGGATGGCGGCGCCCCCACCCACGGCGGCGAGCGGCACAGCAGGCGGGGCGGCCTGGCCGTCGGCCGCGGGGGCCGCGCCCACGTCTGCCACCAAAGCCCCCAACCCGGCGCCGGCTCCAGCTGGCGGCGGTCCAGCCGGCAGGCCCGTCCCGGCGATCCAGCCATGTTGACCCACCCGATCACGCCCAGCACCAGATTCAGCATCAGCAGCGTCGTCGTCGATGCCGAGCCCCGCCCTCTCCATCTGGGCGGTCGCGATCCCGTCGTCGAAGACCTGACGCCACTCCGCCGCCGTGCACAGCTGGCCAAGCGGCGGGAACCTGTACAGCAGAGCGTTGGCGGGGATCGCCGGCGGCACAGACCCTTGCAGGCAGGGCGTGCCTCCGAGGGCACGGATATCCTCTGGATAGACATCGCCATCAGGAGTGACGATGACCCAGGTCGTTCCCCGCACCTTGCAGAGCAGGAGGCGCTCGTGCCAGAACGCCTCCCCGCCCCCGTACCACACCAGAATCAAGCGACCTGGAGCGATCGGCCTCGAATCGGCCATGCACCGCCCGGCGAAGCCCCGAGCCGAACAAGGCCCCTGCGCAGCAGCCCGTCGCCAGCCCGACGAGGCCCGCGACCACCACCGCGACGATCCACCACCTGCTGAGGTCGGGCGCCGCCCTCGGGCAGCTGACCTCCGGACAGCTCGGGCAGGCCGCGCCCCCGAGCGCGCAGGGCGGGCACTGCAGGGCAGGGCACGCCAGGCTGGGAGTGCAGGTGCAGTCGGGGCACACCTGCGCGGTCTGCCCAGCCCACACCAGGCTCGCGGTGCCCGCCGCACGCAGCGTCTCCTGCGCAGCCTCCAGCACAGCGTCCGCGAGCCACTTTGGCATGCACGGGCTGGAGTGGCGGCGGCGGGCGGCGCGCGCGAACCTCCTGAACAACAGAAGGCTATGAGCACGGGACGGGCGAGGCACGCGACGCTCTTGCTACCTTTCCCCTACTCGTGTCACTGTACGGCCCCCGTGTCGTCATTACTGCGCACGCACTCTCATCATCCCCAGCATCAGCATCAACATCATCAGCAGCATAATCATCAGCATTATCATCAGCATCCTTCTCATCTTCCTCCGCCTCCTCCTCCTCCTCCTCCACATCCCCTCCCGCCCCAGAGTCGAGGGGGTACCAAAGCTGATCCTGGCCTACGGGGCCCCACAAGCTTGTTTTCCCGACTTTGAGCCCCTCTGGGGCCCTCTGAGCCTCGTGAGGTGAGGGTGCTCCCGGGAGGCCACCTGGGTCTCCTCAAAAAATACAGAGGACACCTTGGGCCAGGGACACCTTCTGCAACACCCGACAGAGAAGCCCAATCAGCCAACATCGAATCGGAAACCCGGATCGAATCGGAATGCGCGTCAGAACGGGCTGCATCGGCACGGAATCGACATCGAATCGGATCGGCCGCGCCAGGATTTTTTCTCGGAAGGTCAGCGACCTCGCGCTGCCAAGCAGCGAAACAGATCGTATTAGCCGCGTCTCGCAAAGGCAGCGGCTTGCTAGTCAGAGTAGGCGGTGCTGCGAAGCAGAACCCAGCCCCGCCCATCAACCTCCGATGATATTGCAGAGGATGGGCGGTACCGAGTCAAAATGCTAAGTTCAGCAACTCAAAACTGAGATAGTGGCTGTCGGAGTCCGAGTCAGACTGACCCTAGAGGTCACTGTCCGAGTCCCGTTCATTGTGACATCCTGATGTGTTTGCGCACCCTGTTAAACAAAACTGCTTTTAAAGCGTGGAGACCACGGTGCCGACGAACAGCCTGAACCGAGCCTGCTCTGGCGGACAAAGGTCCGCAGAGCGGCAACGAAGGTCTTTGAAGCGGGTTCCAAAAACACTGGGTGCCAAAAACACGTATTGTGCCCGGCAGCTGTAAACTGGCCGCGCCACACCAGCCGGTCAAGCGAAGCACAAGCAAGAGCGACGTGCTGCGCATCCCTGCATCACCTGGCCCGACTAAGCCTTCGCCTTGTCCATGATACTCAAGGCGACCTCACCCAACTTCTTCGCGTAATCGTTCACGGCCTCCATGTCCTCACCCGTGATGTCGGTGAACTTGGCCTCTGGGGTGTCGTCCTTGCAGTACGCCGCGAGGCACTTGGAGATGCCGACGCACGAGCAGTTGAACTCGCCCACGATCCACTTCTCCTCCTCAGCGGGCGTGCCCTCGGGCGAGGCGAGAATGAAGTCAGTGGTCCACCAGAGCGGGATGGGCTCCTCTGCGAGGCCTAGCGCGGGCATGACCAGCGGCAGGTCGTCCGTCAGGAACTTCTTGGTGAGGTTTGCGAACTTGACCTCGTCTGGGCCGTAGTAGGTGTAGATGGAGCCCGTGCCTCCGACGGCGGAGATTCCACCCTCCTTGGGCTTCTTGTGGATGATGCCGACGAGGACTCCTCCGATGCAGTTGTAACGCAGCTCGCCCTCCACGATGCGGGGACAGAAGCGCTGGTCCACGAGCTGGCCTCCGGCCTCCTTGCCACCCTCCAGGTACTTCCCCACGCCCTTGGACGCCCACGTGCCGGACTTGTCGGTGCGGCCGTTGACGCAGAACTCGATGAACTCCCCCACAGTGTGCTCCTCCGCGTGGTTGTCGTTGGCCTCCATCATGTCCAGCACCTCGCCGTCCTCGCAGCTGCGCTCGCCGAAAGTCGAACAGTAGTTGCCCTCCTTCAGCTTGATGATCCAGATGCCTTCGCCCGCGGAGCCGCGGTTCTGCTTGATCACGCGCGGCTGAAAGGCCATGGTCTTCTTGAAGCCCGCAGCAAACGACTCCTCGTCGTAGTACGCCAGGGTGTCCTCGAGGCCGATGTTGAGGTTGGCGATCTTGCAGAGGGCGTCCTTGGCGCCCATCTTCTCCATCACGGTGGGCGAGGGCCAGGCCTGGATGCCCTTCGCGCGCAGGCCCATAATGGCGTCGTCGAACTTCTGCTGGTCACCGCCGTCGGCCTTGATCTGGCCTGGGTTGCAGCGGACGATGAGGAAGTCAAACTTGGCGGCAACCTCGAAGAACTTATCGTGCTCCTGGTGAACGTAGTGGATCAGCTGACAGCTCATGCCAGCCATGATCATGCCGTTGGCAAACGGAACGGAGTCGTAGCGGTGGCCGTTGGAGCTTTTGTCAGCGCCGCCGTAGGGCTGATCCCGCACGTAGATCTGGATGACCGCGCCCTTATACTTGGGGGCGGCCGGCTGCGGCAGGAGGCCGAGGTCATCCTTGGCGATCTTCGTGAGCGAGGAGACGTCGACCAGGCCCGTGCCGCCGCCAGAGCCGCCCTGAAGTGCGGCGAGGAGCTTCGCCTTCTCCTCAGCGGACAGCTCTCCCAGACCCGCACTGAGGTCCTCCACACTCGCCTCGGCGATGGCCTTCTTCGCGTCCTTCACGGATGATGCACCGGAGCCCATTGCAGCGAGTGGAGCGGCAAAGACAATTGCCTAGTGCGTACTGATCGGGGAGTCGCTTGGCTGCACTTGAACCAACGTGGCTTAAGCCAGGATGCGCAACAACGCCGTGCGAGGACCAGGCCGCACCAGGATGCGAGCAACGCCGTGCGAGCACCGAGCACTCGAATCGGATCGGATGTCGGCATGGACCCTGAGAGCGGGGGCTCGGGCCCCGCCCTGGGCATCCGGACCCAGAGGACGACGAAGCTGCGGAGGCCCGCGCGGATTTCTCGGACCAGCGCCAGACGCCCCCATCCCTGGCGCGCGAGGCGCGCCAGGCGCCGCCACGGGGGGGTGAGCGGCGCTGGGCAAACAAATCCGCGGGGACCTCCGAAGGCTGACCTTCAGGAGCTCTTCCTCAGCGTGTCGCGGCGGCGGCCCCGGCGACACACACACAATGCCTTGCAAGCGGATAGCGTGTCGCTCAGCTGCGCGGGGAGGGAGGCCGGGAAAAACTCGAGACGTCGGCGCTTGGAGACTGGGGAGTGGTTCGCGTGTCTTGCCGAACTGCGGTAGGCACGAACCGGCAGAGCGGCACGCT